GCTTTTATTTATTCGATGTAGTGCTTTAATCATAGGTTTGATATACAGTTAGTTTGGGTGATATGCAAAATGCAGTTAATTTTCCATAGATATTTGTAAGTATAGAAGATGGGACATTCCTTTTTATTTCGATTGCCCTGTAAATAGTCCACTGGGACAACAGATGACACTCTGGCTCATAATAGTATTTTGTCTGTTGAGCAACAAGCTCTGTAAAATCTCTAAAATAGTAAAGTATTAGTAAAGTATGCCTCCACCAACCAGTGCAGTTTCTGTCTATGTATTTCTACATAAAGGCCACTGTAACCTTTACCTTTGACAACTGAAAAATAATCACTTTATCTTTGAGTCCACGTGAACATTGATCAAAAGTTGAATTCCCTCAAGTAGTCTTGAGATATGACATTCAAGAGGCACTAAGCCACCAAGACCTTTGATCTTTGACCACTGAAATCAAATCAATTTAACCAAGTGAATTGTACCAGATGTAATGAAATTCCCTACAGGCAGTCCTAATATGTCACATTCAAAGTAACATGAGGTCACTGACTTTGAACCTTGACCTCCAGGCACCAAAATCTAATCAGTTCATCTTTGTGTCCAAGTGAAAATTTGAACCACATTTGAAGACAGTCCCACAAGCTGATCTTAAGATGTCCTGTTTAAGAAAAACATAAACATACTTTGTGAGGCCACTGTGACCTTAACTTTTGACCTTTGGCTACCATACAAATTCTGGCATTCTTGAGATTTCGCGTTCACAGGAATGGGACACACAGATGGATGGACGACTGGCCTCCGGCCACATGGCTATCGCCGGCGTGGAAGCATGAAAATATAAATAAACTGACTCCAAACCACTTCCACATTTCCCAATAACCTTGCACTGACCCGAGTAAGATTGTGGGTCAATTCTGCTACAAAATATAATCCTCTTCAAGGCATTCAACCTATTTTACTTCATCTACTTCAAGGTCCACTTACTGGCTTTCTTTCAGCAGAAAGCTGTCGACAAAACTTAGTAACTTATGTAAGATTTCTTCTAGAGTTGGTGGCACCCGTCATTCTTCCAGAAGCATTAATTCCACAGTTTCTTTTTAAATTCCTAAAACAGACAACCTGTCAGTCGTCCACACTGAGTGACAATTGTGCAAAGGTGTGAAAATTCTGCTCCTGTCACTATTTACACAAACTACATCCGCCACAGAAATGCTGTCTGCTGACAACACCACGTCTCAGCTGCCAGTGACAGACAGGGGATATGAAATCAAGAATACAGAAGAGAGTTAGAAGCAAAGCAGGAACCAGTTATAGTTCTGAACAATGTCCAGACTGGGCATGTCATTACTTTGCCTGTAAACCAGTTCCTTCAGCTACTGGTTTATGCGAGTACCTTTGTGCCACAAGTTCAGTATTTCATTTTCTGCATTTCATTTATTCTATATTTAATAGTTTGAAACTTTATTTCAATGTAACACTACCAACTGAACTTTGGTACCTCCACCTATGGATCACTTGTACCAAGGTATTCCAGTGACTTATGCCATAACTGTGCCCTTTTCTAAGATATATCAACCCTCTCCACTTGGCTGTCACGCATGCTCAGATGATCTATTGTACACGTGTTGCTCATTTTATACGTTGAATCGATTAACTCAAGATGGTTTCAATTTTTTGGAGGTTGGTTTTCATGCAGTCCAAATATTATCTGCAACTGGAGGATAACTTGGGGGAGAGGAAATCAGTACACACTTATTTAAGTCAAAACTGGCCAAACACATTGTCTTTGATACTATTAATGTTTTGAAAAGTGAATATGAATTGTTAAACTGAAGCATGGAACTTAATCCCAGATCAAAATTCTGTTGAAGGACCATAACTGTCTTTTGATATCTATGAGAGGGTGCAATTTGGTGCAGGACTGTTGGGCCTTAGCAGAGCTGTTTGCTAGTTTGTGGGTGTAATGTGATGTTAAATGCATGTATCCTTCTTTTTCTCTCATCCTATTTGTTGTATCTAATGTTGCAAATGAAGCTGCTGCTGTGGTGAGAGATAGTTAACTTCTGATGTGTCTGATGATTGAGTATCAATCTATGTTCCTGAGATAATGCATTTAATGATACTGATGACCCCGCATGCTGCATCAACATGAAGGTGATTATTCCAACACATGTACTGCAGCTTGAGTCCAAATAAAAATGTTGTGATGTCTCTAACCGCAGCTGACAGCCTTTACTGTGTAATTAGCAACGCATGCTAACAAAGGCTGTGGTGAACATGTGACATCTGTGTACAATATGAAGGCAGGCTGACTGCAGGCCTTCAGCTAATAATAGCCACCTTCCATTACATTGGCATTAATGGATGGTAAAGGCCCAGCATCTGTCATGCAGGGTTGGATCTATGATGTAGCTCCTCTTTCTTATGTTCATAATTCACTTAACTGCATTCCACTACTGTCAACTGTAGTATGGCATCCTTTATGCAACACCAATAGTGCTATGTTTAAGGATGATCCTTCCTGTTTTATTTTATTATACAGTGACAGCAGCAGCAGCAGCAGCAGCAGAGGAATGAATGAGTGTAGCTTCCGGGAAAGACCTGATCTCTGCTCAAACGCACATGTATATAACACAGCCTGAGCACGACTAGAGTCAGGTGTATGATCTGCACATGCAAACACAGATGTGCACAGTCACATGTGTAAACACACACACACACACACACACACAAAATACGAGCAAGGGCTGCAAATGTCCCTCCCATCTCACACCTTCACTTGCATCTCAAATTCAGTTTCTCGAAATGTGTCACACACACAAAAACACACACACACACACGTCACGCTGCTCATGCACATCTCTCAGTTGTTCCACTCAGCACAGCAGATCACATCCCACATCAGTAGCTTTAATGGCCCACCAGGACACGAGAGGGCAGAGGGAGGACGCGGGGGCACAAATCACGGGACATAAAGGAGGAGTAGGAGTGCACAGATAATTCACCTTGCATCATGGTGGCCGATTCTCATCCTACGTTGCCCTCCGGTGTGCAGGCGGAGAGAAGACGGAGAAACGCAGCCGGTCAGAGGATGCCTGGGCAGGGCATGGCTAATTCCGCACAGCTCCCCCAGCCAAGCGCGATGCTGAATCCCTCCACCCACAAGGGCCCGACTCCCGGCCACCCCGCGCCAGGGGGTGGGGTGGGAGGAGAGCTGAGACAGAGGCAGCGGTGGAGGACACGAGTGCAAAGAGACACCCGAGGAATATGCTGCAGATCTGGGAAACTGTGTGCGCGCGTTAGGCCCCGGACAACCGAGGGGAAGCGGCAGCGACACACGCCATCTCTGTAAAGGGGGGGGGGGATGCTGAGGAAAGGCAGAAGGAGAAAAAAAAATCAGAGAGAGGCAAAGAGAGAGAGAGAGAGAGGAAGAGAAAGACCGGGAGAGAGAGGGGAGGAGGGAGGGAGGGAGGGAGGGAGGGAGGGAGTGGGAGGCTTGCTGATGTCACATCTGCACTAAACCAATCCCTGTAACCATGGTCACATGGCTGCTGTCCCCTGATGCCTTAGCACCTCTCTGCTCGCCTCGAGTTGCCTCTACAGCCAAATGCATATTATACAAGGTCTCACATGATGCTGGGCTTTAATTGGCCAAATAATCCCTTGCATATTAATCAGAGTGCATGTAAACATTCACTTTGGTTCATATAAAAAATAATTGGCAGAATTTGCAGTGTCTGTGTCTGTTATTGAGGATTTTTGTGAGTAATATTTATATTTTTTGAGCATTTGAGCTTAACAGGGCAGTGAGGACAAAGTTTCATCAATGCAAAACACTCGACCAACATTCACCCACGTATATGCAGACAAACAGTATAAAAATAGGAGGTCAGGCAGTTTAAAGCCAATAAGGAGAAGAGTGCGTTAAGTCCTTCGCTGAAATCTATAATAAGCTTGAAAATAAAATCTAGCAGAGGAAAGAGGATTCCATGATTTTCAGGCAGCAACTGAACCACATGATTTTGTCCTTGAATGTGTGACACATAAAAGTCCTGATTAAAAGGCCTCTGTCAGGGAGGCATCTGTGGGTGCTTTAATACAAATATTCTACAACTATAGAGAACAGCAACGCAAGGAATTAACATTGCAAGAATGTGTTGTGTTTTCATTGATTTAATGATATCATTGTAATTCATTGATCTTGATGAAATAAATCTGAATTGAATTGTTTGATTTGGAAAGGTTTCTCTGAGACAAAAATCCTAATTTAGAGCGAAATCAAATTATAACACATTTATTGTATATGTTTCAAAGGAAGAGGGACAATGTGTTGCTTGTAGCGCTATGATGCTTGTTTTGTTTACTCATTAGCATTTGAAAGAAAATACAGATGATGCTGTACACACTACTGCCGGTGGTTTCACACTAGGTGGTAGTAAAGTGTAAGACAACAGAAGTATGTTAAGTTAAAAGCAGTTTAACATGGAGTAAAACAATGGCAGCTGTACAATGATGACTAGGGAAAAGTATTCAACATGTTTGTGGTGAGTAACACTTACTGTAAAGGGTTGAGTTTGGTGGAATTACATTAATTCTAATTTAATCATTGGAAAAGGAGTGACCCAAAATTGTATATCCTAAAATCTGATTAATTAAACGTGTTCCTAAAATTTAAAGGGGTCTTTTAAGTTTGTTCACAATGCATTAATACATATTTCAGATGGTGTTAATACAGAAATAAAATGTCCTTTAAGGAGAGATTAAATTAAATGTTATAATGGAGGTTTGTGAATAATGAGGATAAATGGGGCACACTGATGGAAGAGAAGACTGGAGCGACAGTCAAGCCTCGGGGAAGCCTGCAGGATATGGAAGATGAAGACGATCGAGACGTCCCACAGGAACCTGTATGAAAGGTTTACTTGGGATAAATAACCACGTCCAAAGCACAACTGAAGAGACGCTGGAGCTTTAGCCGACACATTGAAATAATGTGGTCTGAGGCTGCAGTTAGAAGCTACAAACACGAAGAGGCCAAGAGGAGATCGTTTGTCCAATTTAAACAAGATGGATTTTGTTCTGTGGAAAAACTCTGAAGTCTGACAGGTTTGGGTTTTTTTCCAAGAAGCAGTTAGACAAAAACTATTTTCTCTGGAAAAGAGGAATAAACTGACTCCACACAACCTCAGCCTGCAAGGTTGTTTCTATTGTTAAAAATGTGTCACACTGGAGGACAACAGTGTGTCTTCCACCGCAGAGTGCACGCTGTCAGCTGTAATCATCACACAAGCACTACTCGGGGAAGGAGGAGGCCTCACATTGTAGCCTGGAAGAAAGAGAGGCAAAGGACAAACTATTCCAACAATGATGTGAGTGTGTTACACTTCAGCAGGAAAACTGAGTTATGGCCGCACACACACTTCGATGAGAGCTTTGGTGTGATTATTCAGCTGCTTTGATAACGGCCGTGTTTTGGGCCATTGGAGCTGAGTGACTCACCCTCTCTGATAGAGAACGGACAGATGGGGAATGGGCAGTTAGAGGATAGTGTTTTGGCGCATGCTCGTGTGTGTGTGTGTGTGTGTGTGTGTATGGAAAGAAACGTTTCTACTGTGGAGGTCATGGTGTATCATCTCGCCCTCTGCTCTCATGCTAAGAGATGATTATATGTCAGTGAGTAGAGTGTAATGTTAGAGATTGGGATCTGATGCAGACACACACTGTACTTAAGACTATCACACTATTTGGATTTCCATATTTCTTCTTTCAATGTCCATATCTCCTTCTCTTTATAGCTCTATTAGTGTATTTATCTCTCTGTTTATCTCTCCATCATCTATCTCAAACTCCTATCTATTTATCTTTTAATCCATCTCTCTATCACTACATCTATCTATATCTATATATTTCATACTGTATGTTTACTTTGCAGTAACCAAGGAAAGTCTTAAAAGCAGTAACTACTGGAAGCAGGAAACAGAAGCAGACACCTTCATCAAGTCTCATCACTTGTTTAGTACACTCTTCTCACTGCTGAGGTTTATTTGTAGCTGCTGTTGTCACCTTGAGTATCCTGGTAGTAACTGTTAATGAGCTTATCTAACCCGGCACAACCCTCCAAGAGCTGCTCCCGTGTGCTTCTCCTCATCCAGCTCCTTACATAAGATACCAGCCAGCCAGGGGTCAGAGGTCACAGAAGCTGGGATTAGCAAGGGAGGAGTGGATAGAGGAGAGCGCAAGGAGAAGGAGCAGGGAGCTGTTAGCCCCATGTTACTGTTACTATTGGACACTGTGAATCAGTAACACAGGGGTGATTAGAGAGTATGAATAAACCCCACAACATCCCAACGTTAATAAAACTGAGAGAAGCAGTTTAAGTGAAACAAAGAAAATAGCGAGCACTATGGAATGACAAGTTGTCCCTTTCTGAGGACTGTACCTGCAGGAGACAGTGACAGGATTACTGTGCACTGTAAATCCTCTCCGACTGTGTGCAGCTCAATACCACCACCTACTGAAGGACATTACTGAAGGGCTCTGTTTTTCATTCTAGAATAATCATGCTAAGTTATATTCCTCCTCCTCCTCATCATTATTATTATTATTATTATTATTATTATCATCATTATTATTATTATTATTATCAGTGTAAACTGCAGAAGGACAGGGGTAGTAGGGAAACAATCTCAAGAGGAAAGTGTGTTGTGCAGTTCAGCTGGAAACAGTATTGTCTCAGTCAGAGCCACCAACTTTTGGAATAGTTTACCTGTTGACTTAAGAAACAAAAGTTACTATCCAACCAAGGCTTGTTGCAAAACACATTTGTGAACACGTGTGATAGTTTCCCTTTATTTATGTATTTAGTTTACATGCATATTGTTGCTTTGTATTAAATCGGACTGTTGGATTCTATCACATACAGTGCTTTCATCATGGGTGGTTTTATATTACCATGTGTATTTCAATCATGGGTTTGTTGTGCAGTTATTTTGACAGAGTAGGTGAACAACATGCAATAATTGGTCTATGCACTAACAATTCCCCTGGATCAGGCCTCTACCCCTTCTGAGAATCATTTATATTCTGTAGAAAATGAATAAAGTTCCCCACCATGCAGAGCAATGCAGGCGTGGGAAATGTCCTGCAAATAGAAGCTCTAGCAATAAATACAGGCTATATCTGTGTATAAACAACATGAATATACCTTGAGGACAAGTTGACCACAAATGTTCATACACTATATCTTCCATCAGAAATATCACAGATCACAATGTCTGCCTGGCAACAAGACTCTTCATGGATTAGCAGAGTGACGGCATCAGCGCAGGTCATGTTGGTGCTGTCGGCCATGGTGAGCTGGTGTATCCTTGCTATCGCTCAGTTTCCTGCCTGGAGCTTTGCTTCCAGAAGACAGGAGGCTGGTCAGCTTCCACAGATGATAATTAATTACTCAGCAACTTTAATCCACTTGTAACAAAGGCATGAGGCTTATCACTTTTGGAAAAGGGGGCAACTCATAGTAAGAAGGTGCCTGGTTCAAATCCCATGGACTTTGCATGTTCTCCCTGTGTGAGTTTTCTCCAGGTCCACAGTCCAAAGACATTCAGAGATTAATTAGACTTGAAACTGACCATAGGTGTGAATGTGAATCATCTATTGTTTCTGTATGTTCACCCCTTGATACACTGGCCCCATGTCAGCTGAGATTGGCTCCAGCTTCCCTCAGGACCCTAAACAGAAAACCAGTTTATGTGATTTTTACCAGGAGAAATAATTGAAATTTGAAGTTGTATAAAAGCAGAATATAAATCTATGGTAAATACTTTACATCTGATACATATATTTTCACTGCAGTCTAACTTGGCTGGGTTGTCCCCATCACAGTCACCACCACAGATGTTTTCTCACACTATAAAAATATATGAAGCACCACAGAATAACAGTCAACTGTAGCTTTACTATACACAAGCTGAATTGATGCCATCTTGCTTAATTAGAAGAGTTAGGGTTCGGGCAAGCTTTCTCTCAGTGTTATAAAACGGTTCAAATGCCATTTTCTCCGCGCTCTCACAGATTCAACATGGTGCAGAATACAGCCATTGTTACTGGATGCTGTTTGTAAGACCACAGAACACTTTCTGCTGGAGGGTAGATGCAGACGATCTAAGTCTGCTCTCTCCCATGAATCCCTCGCTTGTTTCATCCTCCTCCGGTTTTATCAAGAAAAGTTAATATCAGTAAATCGCGCTTCCATTTTATAATTCTTTATTTGTACCAACTGGGCATGGTTAAAGCTCCTCTGAATGTGGTGATTGTAAACAGGAGAGTGATTTGAGTTTCAGCAATTAT